GGCTGTGAGTGGGGGTGGGGGGAAGGGGGACCAGGGAATCTGAGGGGTGGGGCGTTCCCGGGGCACAGACGGTACCTTGAGGGCCACCTGGTTCCTGGTGCGGGCGGCCTTGTGCAGGGCTGTCATCCCGTCCCTGGCGCGGAAGTCCAGGTGCGCCCCACCATTCCTCAGCGCTTTGATCACCTCCACGGAGTCGTCCAGCTGGGCCGCCAAGGTCAGGGGCGTCTCTGGGGGGACGCACACGCCTCAGAGCCGGGCCTTGGGGGAAGCCGCTCAGCCTCGGGGCTCACATAGCCAAATCTAAAGGGACCCCGAGCATCACATCCCCCACACACCACGGGACGTTAACCGACATAAAGAAGGAAGGAAGTCCTGCCGTGGCAACCACATGGGTGGGCCTTGAGGGGATGATGCTCAGGGGCGACAGACAGACAGAAAGACAAAGCCGGGGCCACAGCCACAGAGGACGGGCTGGAGGCCGCCAGGGGCAGGAGGGGGCCGTGGGTGGCCGGGAAGCGCACACTTCCTTCTGGCTAGGAGGTGACGTGTGTGCAGCAGGTGGCGATGCTGTACTTTGAAAGTTGCTGCCCAGCCGGCGTGGCTCAGTGGTTGAGGGTCGACCTATGAACCAGGAGGTCAGGGTTTGATTCCCAGTCAGGGCACAGGCCTGGGTTGTGGGCTCGATCCCCAGTGGGGGGCGTGCAGGAGGCAGCCGATCAGTGATTCTCTCATCATTGATGTTTCTCTCTCCCTCTCCCTCCCTCTCTGAAATCAATAAAAATATATTTAAAAAATAAAAAAAGTTGCTAAGAGAACAGATCGTGAAAGTTCTCATAAGGAAAGACCGTAACCGCGCGAGGTGTGGGTGACAGGCAGACCGACAGTGTGGGCGTCCCACAGACACACACATCCTGCGGGTACCCAACACTGACACAACGTCGCAGGTCAGTCTTACCCCAATGAAACGGAGAAAAAGAGAAAAACTAAGATTAAATAAAAGCTAGTGCTCATTTGGAATTTAAGAAAAAAAAAGCCCTAGATGACTTGGTTCAGTGGTTAGAGCGTTGACCTGGGGACTGAAGGGTCCCGGGTTCGATTCTGGTCAAGGGCACGGACCTCGGTTGGAGGCTTGATCCCCGGCCCCAGTCAGGGCACGTGCAGGAAGCAACCAATCCATGTGTGTCTCTCACATCAATGTTTCTCTCCCTCTCCCCCTCCCTTCCACACTGTCCCGCTGTCCCTCTCTCCCTCTCTCCAAAAATCAATGGAAAAGCTATCCTTGGCTGAGGATTAACAATAAAAAGAGAAAGAAAAGAAGGGAGGAAGGAAGGAAAGAAGGAAGGAAGGAACCCCCAGGCCCCAAATGTCACTAGCAACACTGAGAACCATGGCCATTTCATCCACACGAGGGATGGGCTTGGTTCCCAGCAGGGGGGGCAAGACCCTTGCGGACACACAGCAGCAATGGAAAAGCTATCCTTGGCTGAGGATTAACAATAAAGAGAAAAAGAAAGGAAGGGAGGGAAGGGAGGAAAGAAGGAAGGAAGGAAACCCCAGCCCCAATGTCACTAGCAACACTGAGAACAGTGGCCATTTCATCCACACGAGGGAGGGGCTTGGTTCCCAGCCGGGGAGGCAAAACCCTTGCAGACACACAGCAGATCCGTGCATGGCATCATTCATTCATTCATTCATTCACTCAGTCAACAGGTATGTACTGAGCAGGTGCAGACGGCTGGAGACGCCGTGGGAGCGAACACGGCTCACCCCCAGCTCACGGCGCAGCGAGAAAGCCCTGGAAAGCACGGTAGACCGTGGATGCCGCACACGCGCGCACTC